ACACACACACGCACATACACACACACCAGGGTCGTCACAACATGTGTTTTTGCATATATGCAAAAACGCATAAAAACAAAAGTGAGTTAGCCTGCATAAGAGCGAGCATACTAATTTACAGTAAGCAAGACGGATTTGTTTCAATTCACTTTTTTAAGGAACAAACATTTTTACCAGTTACGAAAGAAAAGGAATGTCTGGCTCAAATAATTTCATCTTTTTTTTCGACTGAAACGCTAAATCAAGTAAAAGCTACCTCCCCTCTCTACATCCCACCCTTACGGGAAATGGAGAAAATCGGAATGGGGACGTTTTGCAATCATCAAAGTAGCACCCAGCAAGGCGACTGATGACTCCTTCCGATGAGCTGCTAAAAAAGGAAACTCAGAAACATGTCTATTGAGATATACGAGCATAGATTATCACCAACAGACAAATAATCAACAAAGAGACTAAGTTCTGCACTGACAAATTTTAGCCACGATTCGAAACCGAAAGTAAGCACTCTTACCATTACTTCAAACCTATTCACAAAGAAACACCACCTTTATGAACTTGATAAATCTTTGGCCACAATTTTTTTGCCATTGTATATCGTAGATGAACTGATCAAGACTGTCCCTGTCCGATACGTCAACAATAAAACGAGGCACAAAGCGAATTTCCGAATTATTTAACTTGATATCAGCTAACCATCCTAAAAAAGGCAGTAATTCTCATGGTCTTCATGATATGTCCACTTTCAGTGATTCATCAACAAATTTATCCTAACAGTGCAGGGAAGTGGAACTGGACTGCCAAGACAAATTGCAAGCTTTGCTAAGAGCCAGTTGATAAGCAAGTTAGTGGGCGGCAATTATCAGAGAGTGATTCAAACGCTTTGAAAAGATGGAGAATGTACGTGATACCATGAAGAGGGAGGAGAGGCACAAATTGCTCCCGTGGAACTTGAGGAGAGAAGAATTTGATCGGCAAATACCTTTGTCCAGATCATGCGCACCAAATATAGTGCACATTTTTCTTTGCTGTTTTATCTCGGGTTTGAACTGGAACCAAACGGGTGATATGTAAGTGAACTTTGCCGCCGCCCATTTGGCAATATCATATCCACCGCTATTCCACTACAAATGAAATTTAAGAGAAAGCAAGCATGTCGAATACATACCACCAAGAACGGCTCAACTGTCTAAGAATGGAATGCACTGAGAAGCTGAACTGCAAAATATTAGCTAATTCTGCGCCCACTCGCTAAAGCTGCCAATATTGACTTGACTTTTACATTTCCAAGTAAGCAACTGTCCTAGCTGTCTACTGGCAGCAGAAAAGGGAAAACCATCCTCCTAATCCAACACTATTCTTTGTTCAAACAGACCTCCTTTTGACTGATAATTGCTTTAGGTTAATTTGCTCAGCTGCTGTTTTACTGCCGCGTTCCTCCTTGTTACTGAAGCCACAAAAAACTTATTCTTGCTCCCACACTTCTTTCCTCATCCATTTAAATCGACAGAAGTATTCATCAGATCATTCCATCCAGTTGCAGTTGCTCATGTATTCTTTTAACAGTGGGCGAACACCGGTCTGTCAATCAGTTGGTCCCATCCCCATCACATCACTACAACTCACATAGATTTTCGATGATACTGCTAACATCACATCAGATCCGTAGTGCTGTACTGGAAATATGCTACAACTTGCTGACATCAACAATGCGTCGTACCAAAGCTTTCTGGATTACAGCCAACGTTCCCATCCGCAACAGTGGTGTCACAAGTTTTCATTCCAAACAACAAAACTGGCAAAAGCGGATTTAAGAGACGATGCAGTGTTAATCAAAACAACCGAAAAATAAAAGCATCTGTTTGATGACGACAAAAATTGGACCGTTAAACAATTTTGGTGCGTTTCTGCATCACTGGTGGAATGGAGAAACATCGTAGCGAAATACATTGATTATTACTGTGATTTTCAAAACAGGGGGCTAAAATCATGGAATCATGACCCCAATCATGAAAGGAGTCTGATGGAACCAACTTTCACGTCTCGAGAGAGGCAACTCCGCACATTATCAGGCAGGAAGACCAAGCAGTGACTGCGGCGAGCATTCGCTAGCACACATCAACTGCAACAGCTCATTGCAAAAAAACGTGACCGCGATAGTTTCCTTGCGCCTGTGGTTATTTACTCCCATAAAATGAGATATGAAATACCGGTGTAACGTAGGCCAGCACTGCGCGTCTGAACTTCTTCTGATCACTGCACACTATGCTGTGCTTCTCACGAATATGTTGTACAGTCAATTCCTTCGCATAATCGTCGAACTGCAAAAAAGTCTCAGTCAAAGCAACATGACATTTTAAATAAACGGAAAAAATGTTACGATATATCGAGCAGTTCTAGACGAAACAACGAAGCGAAGGAACCGGGCACAGAACAACAGGCCAAGCATCTCGCTGGAGAAAGGACAATGGGAAAGAAATCTCGTCATTACAGCGATGATTGCACAACACGATGGGGGAAGGAAATGGCAGTGCAAAAACTGAAAGAAAATAGATGAAACAGTTTATGCGCACCAGATATCTTGTTCCTCAGTGATACTTTTTTCTCTCTCCTTCATCGTCACCTGCTTTTACACTTTCTGAACTAAAAATTAAGCTAAAAGCGAAGAGCAAGGCATACACAACCACCAATTTGCGGTCAAAACCAGCCAGTGATTCGTGAACTAGTTGCCCCGGCAAAAGGCTAAGCTCGATGCGTTAAAAAAGGGAATCCCAATAAATGGAATATAAAGCACTTCGGATGCGATGGCTCTGGCAACCTCCCTCCGATGAAGCACTGACGCAAAAAACCCGTAAGCTGAATGAACTGGTGCAGATAATGTCCTCGTAAGAAGAAGGTACTTGGCGCAACTAGCCCCAACACACTCCCCACAAGAAACAGACTTGATGCAAACAGCTTAGTAAGCTGCGTTTCACGAATAATCATAAAAAGTCATCCTCCAATTTTACGGGCCAAAAGCACTCTTTCGACCACATGAATAAAGTAGAAAGCTTAAATACCTTCGTTTCGTCGTCCAAAGAAATGCGTTTGTGCTGCCTCGTCTGCCCATTAACTTCGCTTATCCCCGCTTTCTCCGATGCCCAAACAGAACAGTTCGAGATCGCCGTGATGACGTAAAGAAGCCAAATAACTCTAGGTAACAGAGGAATACCCAAATTCATCACCGAGATCTGTAACAACACAACATTCTCAATGACTGCTCTAGCTTCTCTGTCAATGCTATTTCGCGGGGCTGCCCGCCGGCAAAGCTCGGTACTTCGCCAACGAGATTTCCAGAGGTACAGATTTGGGATGGGATGGAGGTTCAGGAGTTTTTGACGATAAATGGTGACAGTAGTTGAGGATGGCGGGGAAAATTTCTCGGGATTAGTGTATGACGCCGACCGGGCCAAGTCGAGTCCTAACAAAGTGTGCTGGAGTTGTGGCTGTAGAGTTCAGATGCTAGCAAAATGCAACAGTGCCCACAGGAGCGACATAAACTGAATTGCATTCGTCGGCTAGCATCGCCATTTCGACTGTGTATATGAGCTATATTTTGTAAGCTATAAGGACCCATGCTTTTCCCTGAATCGTACCAGCCCGCTGCACGTGAGGCTTCACTTATCAGCAAGCAAGCAAACTGTCTCGCCCACAAGAAAATGCTTCAAGTGAATCGCAATGCATATAGCAGCACTAGTGCCAGTACACGATTCTGTTGCTGGGAACCAAATTTGATTTCCCTTCCCTCCCACCTCAACTCGACAGCTCATGAAATCTCAAATCTACAGATGGCATGCACGCCAGGAAACAAACAGTCACATCCAACTCGGCCAACAGCTCAATATGCTTCACAACTTGCAATGGTTGTTTCATGGCACAAAATTCCAAATGTCCTCGACTTATTCGACCAGTGCGAGCGTACTCATCTCTTCAATACCACAGTTCTGAATGAACCTAAATACCAATACGAAACACAGTCGGTGATGAAATGCGAACAGGTGGAAAAACATTTTTAATCGGCAATAAATAAAATAAATGGCAACGCGCACCAGACTAGCCGGTGCGATCATGCGTTTTGTGCAATTCAGCC